CTGAGAGAAGTGTCAGCAAGGAAGCTTTTGGACTTTGTAAAAAGGACAAATCTACTTGCTGAATAGGACTAGTAGTGGGACGCACAATAGGCCTAATTAGGCCGCAGTGCTATGGGACTTTTTAAAGGACCAACCACTAGATGATGAAGAAGAAGAAGATAGCCATCTTTCTCTATCGCACGGATTTCTATGACTTTCTTTATCGCTCTCAGGTAACGGCCGATGAACCATGGGGACTTTCCGACCCTGTATATATAGTTCTTGAGTAATTGTTCAGAAAGTGTTTTAATTTCAATATTTAAAATAACATGTTACTTTGAAGAGAAGTAACTTTGAAAATTTGTGGCTACTGGGCTGTTACACTGAATAATAAATTGGTCATTTACAGTGCTTTACCAAATTTTGGATCATAGCGGTAGATGATGCTGACTATATAGACGACGAATCTTGGATGCTTCTTCAAGTTCTGTTAGACTTACGTTTGTTGTTCATACTGGTCACTATGGGTACACAGAAAGAATTAACATCCTACGCTCTCCAAGTAATGAAGAACGAAAGCATAAAGATTATCACACTGAAACCGATAGACAAGTGGTTTCATGTCGGGTTAGTTTGTCAGATGCTTGGTATAGAGGGAATTCCACCGGAGTTAGAAAAGTAATTGTTGCTCTATTTATTATTTTTTATTTTCCGCGCGCATTGGCTAATGTCGAAGCAGTTGGTGTTTATTTTATTTGTTTATTTAATATCCTTTTTTATTCTAGAATGGTTCAAGTCAAAAGTAATGGTAATCCGGGTTGGATCGAGAGTTTTCTAGTGACTTTAGTGCAGTCTGGTGGAATTGATGTTAAAGAAATGAAAAGAATTGACGCTTATAATTCAGGAATGGTCATGCCCCCCCTATACATGCTAATGAGGTACATAAACTATAGATATACAGAGTGTTTCTAAAATATCATGCCAAACTGAAATACGACATTCGTTTTATTTATTTAAAAAATGCGTTTTGGGAAGTGTTCCTCACAATTTTTTACTAAGGTTTTTTCAGTCCATATTTATTGCTTAAAATAATATTTGTTCCTTTTTCAATTTAGCTAGATTTATACTACGATAATCAATATAAGCCGCATGTTTAAATGTATTGCAGAAAATTAAAAATACGTTTGTGTATTGTTTTTCTCCATAACTTTCTTATACGAAATGCATTTTCTCAAAGAATAGGAAGTTTAGTTATCTAATCCAATTAGAAAACAGTGGGCTTAAATAATAATTGTATGATAATGATAATATTTATAAGGCATTCCAATAATTTGCCTAATGTTGTCAAAGACTTCGATATAAGAATTGGTTTAGATAAGTCTTCCTCCGACTACAAGGTGTTCTATTAGTTGGCAATAGTAGTTCAAGACAAGCATATCGATTATAAGTAAATTTTCCATGTGGCAAGATAAACCTTGAAATTCGCGCCAGGTGTGATGAAGTCGAAACAGAACAACAGCTTGATTTATGAGCTAGTATATTCGTTGAGTCCTGCGTCGTTGGAAGACACCTTTGTCTTCCTTGGTCTTTTCTTTAGTCAGAAATTATGTGATGACTGATGATGTTGATACTTCCCATAACAGATGAAGCAACCTCTTATTCATTCATTGCTCTGCCGATTGGCACAATCTTTATGAGGAAGTCCAAGGAGGAAATTCGAAAGATGAAATTCTGTAAAACTACTCGTGTAGTACATATAAATAATTTCTGTGTGTAAATGATATTAATCTTCCCAGTAGCATAGATGGCGGTGCAATACAAAGATATTTTCCAATGACAGAAGCTTTGAATAGTGGAAATGTAATTAAATTCTGAGCCACTTTTCTAATCACAATATTCGAAATACCACTAGTTTCCGAGATTTGTTAACAGGAAACTGTTTTTTAAGAACGTTTTTTTATTATTTTATTTTTCATTTTAAATTGTGCTGGTTAATATAGTAATAAATACTATTTTTTATTCAGTTTCCAATGTGACCTAAAACTGTTTATTTATTTAATGAAAGTTCTGCATTTTCACTTTTGCAATAAAAATCATTATTTCAAAAGGATTTACTTTGGGCGAGAGTGACAAATGAGCCGAAAAATTGGCCACCAAACTTGATTTTTTTCTTGTGATTTATGCAAGTAACTCTTCAATTCCAAGACTTTATATGAAGAAGGTGTACAGGGTGGCTAAGCTAAAACTCTCCAGGCTGATTACTTGGAAACAAAAAAAGATGGATACATTCTGCAAGTTTTATTCATTGCAGGAACATTACAAATATGAATATCTAAAAGTAAAGTCATTTGTCAATGTTTTTTGTCATATACATTTTTTTCGAAATATCCCAATTATTTAGAGCACCATAATTTTTTAAATATAGTTTACTTGACTTTTATTTTAAAAATATATCTCATCTAGTGACTGGGAAATTCTTTATATTATAGAAGTCGTTCAGATTTTAATGAATATTCATGTGAATCACTTTGTCATCGAAACATTTTTGGATACCAACGCTATTTATGTCACCATAAGGAGTCATATTGTTTGTATTCGGAATTAAAATTTTCTGTGTGACAACACTACTTTGTAGAACTTAGCTACTGATTTTGGTTTTCGAAGCTTGGGTATTTTACATGGATTACATTTGATTTATAATAAATATTTTGGAATTCATAACTTGATAATGACGAATTAAAATGAATTTTTGTTACCATTCTGAAGATTATCACAAGCAGAAATAGATTTGTGGATGGAGGTCATGGAAGAGAAGACACTTTCCAAAAAGGATGATGTGACTTTAAACAGATGGAAGATATTTGTGGACAGCTGTAGGGTAAGAATCATACAGATTTACCACTTGTTTAAAAAATTTGTTTATTTTTATTGAAGTTATTGAAATTATGTTGAAGATAACTGACTTCAATTATTTCCATATGTTTAACTTTTTATTTTATTTTATATTTCAACAAAGCATGCATGCAGATATTATCTATATTTAGAATACTTTCTAAGATCTTTTATAATTTTACGAGGTTGTTCATTGGACCATTTTAGGTACAAAATTAATTAACTGGTATCTTTAAACCCTATGGTCTAGTGATACTTGTTTTTAGGATAGAGAATATTTTTTATATATTTCTGTTTATCATAGTTTATCTATTTATGCAAATATCTTAAAAGCTGTCTGACATTGGCCTATAATTTAATTGAATAAATATAATTTTATGAAAATATAATTACAATAAATTCATAAAATCATTGGTGTAGAAATTTGGTATAGCCCTTAAAAAATAATAATTGGATTAAGCTCAAGTTAAACCAAGATATGTAAATTTGACATATTTCAAAAACATTTTTCTAAAATTATAGCATGAATTTAGTTGGATGGGCAGTGTGTGAGAAATAAATATATAGGGTGTCCCAAAAGTGACGCCCGTCCTTCTGAGATTTGATTAAGGGGACAAAAACAAATCGAAAATCAAGAGTTGGAAATTTTCCGATTGTCTTTCTTTGTTGAAATGTTCAAAAAAATTGTTCAAAAAACTATGAAAAAGTGAAAATCCAATATTCTCGTCTGGAAACTGAGGTCTATGCCTATGGGGGCCAACACTTTATAACCAATTAGATAAGTATAGTTTCCGATTATCGGTAGTACCTGGGTGTAAGGAATTATTTTAACCTAAAAGGGATAGAGAAAAACATTCTAATAATAAAACAATTTTATAAAACGGAGAGGAAAGAAACTTATAAACTAAAAACATAATGAGCTTAAATAATATAAATTGTTTTTACAAAAGGTGTTCAAATAAGTTGCCTTCTACTTCAAGACAAATATTGGCACGATTGAACATTGAAGCACGAACCATTTGTAGCATCTCTTGGTCTATTAACGCGACAGCAGCGTACATACGGGTTACTACTCGTACATTTTCTGGATTTACAACAGGTTCGCTGTAAATCTTTTCTTTTAAATAACCTCAAAAGAAAACATCTATTCAGATTTGATGATTTAGAAGGCCATGTTATATGTCCACCTCTTCCAATCCATCTGTCTGGGAAGTTTTGATTCATGTAATTTCTTACTCGTAAACCATAATGTGACGGAACTCCATTATGTTGAAACCAATAATTTATTTATTATTGCTATAGCATACTAGATCACTTCGTTTCAATACAACTAATCTCTATTATTTTATTCTTCAAAAGCTATCAAAAAATAAGTAAGTAATGTATGAGTGGAAAGTAAACTTGGCTCAGTTGACAAAGTACTCGTCATTCTCCTAAGCTGTGAAAAAAACAATAATTCTTTGTATTGCAGCAAAATTATAGGAATATTGAAAATGTAGTAGTTTTTATTCAGGCTGTTATTATCGAAGTAATAGAGCAACCGAGTCAGTCCTCTGATTAAAATCCTATAAGCACAGACCTCAGTTTTGAGAAAAAAAATGGATTTTCACTTTTTTAGTTTTTTGAATATTTTTTTGAATGACTCAATAAAGAAAAACTATCGGAAAATTTTCCACTCTTGATTTTCGATTTGCTTTTGTCTGCTCGTTGCCTTAATCAAATCCCAGAAGGACGGGCGTCACTTTTGGGACACCCTGTATAAATGAAATACCCTTGTGTTATGGTTCATTGTGCTCAAATCTCGTAACGATTGTCAATCCATTTTTGGCTGTCATTAGCATTGTGCATTGTGAGCATAGAGCGGCATAGAGCTTACCCATATTGCCGCTTACTAGCATAATATAGATTACTATTTATTTATTTGATTGTCTCCACAAAGTTTCCGATGTCTAGTTATAATACAAAGAGATTTAAGTATATTTCTTTTAGTTATGAAAAAATCGAAGATAAAAAACATAGATTCTTTTCATTACTACTGTATGCGACCCAAAATTTATTTTTTTCTCAGACAATAAGACGATTTCCACCCCGCTCCTTAAAGGGATCCAACTTTTTATAGGAGACTCGAATTAAATGTTATAAATAAGGCACGACATTTCTAGTTCGATTTCATTAACGTACGGAAGGGTGGCTGAGGGAACACCACGCCGCGCCGCCGCGCTAGGAATGAAGAAAAATGACAATTTTAGAAATAGAAATAATAATATATTTTTTTAATAACTACTATAAAAACAGTACACCCAAGCTACAGAAAAATAAAATTGTGTGTCATGTATTAAAAAACTTTTTTAATGTGAATTTATTTTAAAAATATGGATAAGAACTTGTGAGGACAATAAATATATTTAAATTATTTTGTAGGTTTATTTAAACAAAACATTAAAATATATTATTTTCTGAATTCCAAACTTGAAAAATGAGTATTTGTCATAAGTGTAAAAATACTGTTTAATCCGGACCTGATCAAAGTATGCGCGGTCAGCTTACTTCACACACACCACTTCCCCGCAAATTGGCTTAATCGGTTCCCATGCTTTGGGATATGAAACGTACACTCTAGAGGTGCTCTGTGGTACTAACAAACAAGTGTTTCTGCACGCATTACTTCTTGTAGTAGAAACAATTCGTCGCTGTTACCCAAATGTAGATGGATTAATTGCACAGACCAAGAAGGCAGTGTTTCTCAAATCCTCGAAACGTATTCATCAATTCCATCAGCAGTGACCTGGCATTCTAGAACCTCCATAACCCATTCTTACACGATGGGGGACATGGTTAGAGGCATTATTTCATTATTTTAAACATTTTCAAATAATAAAATTCGTAATTTTACAATTCTGTGCCAAAGAATCCGCTGCTATTCGGAAGAGCAAAATAAAATTTCAAGATAGTCGAGAAGAAATAGAAAATGATTCGATTCGTTTCTCCATCCTGCATTATATGAAGTTGAACAATTCTAAAAGGATAAATTGGGGGATTATGGGTATACAAGAATGATACTCTCTGAAAAAAAATTATCGCTTACAACATCTTTACCCAACCAAACAAAGAAAGAATTAAAGAATAACTTCTAATGAAGAACGGAAAAGCAATAAGTGTTTTTAGTAGCGAACATGAAGATCCCCGGATTTACCTTTTAACTTAATTAATTATAATTAGGTACTACGGAATGTGGAGAATAACAAATGGTTTAAAAATCATCCGCATTATTTTAAAATTTAATATCGACATGGTTAACAAAATATTCTGTTTTTAGGAAAGCTATCCAGATCTGACAGTGTCAAAGGCATTCGAGGATTACAAAAAAGAAAAGGTCACCCAGATATGCGTTTTAAATCCACAGTTAAACCCAGAGGACGTGGTGCCCGAGCAGCACATGAATGTCGTCATCTTGAAAACCTTCGACTCGCTTACGTCTTACGAGCAGCTCCTTCTCAAGTGCAGTTCCATACTTGGGGATATCTTTACGAGAGATATGCTGCTGTACATCATGTCATCGACTGCCTCCAGACTAACATCTCTAGGTTTTGCATTTTTTTTTGGTTTATTTCAGAAGATGTGGCACAAATAAGTTTTTTTTTTCCGTATTCAGTACTTTCCTAAATGATTACAAGCCACAGATTGACCTGCAAAAAGAAAAAATTACTTGTTTTTCATTTTATGGAAAATTGTGACTTTTGTTAAAAAAATTTGCTTATGATAACGTGTAATTTAAGTGGGCGAACTTGTAAAGGCACCTTCTATTACGAATGAAAAATACATTTAAACTCTATTTATAGATTCGTGTATTTTAAAATTACATTATTAGCCATCTCGGAACATCAGGCAAGCTTTTCAGTTTTTTGGTCTAGGGTTGAGGCTGTAACAACTTCCTACCCTTTCTTGGTTACGCTCATGTCAGAAAATATTAAATGTATTTCAAAATCCGTTAAATATGTTTAGCAAAAAAGAAATACGTAAATAAAATGATTTAAGCAACTATTCCAATTTATGGATAGAATTATATTGTTGCTACAAAAATGTTTATTTGTACTTTAACAACAACATATTATTTTTATACATAACATATTCTTTTAACTACGCCCTCTAGGTCATATCAACTTAAATACAGGGTGGGCCAAAAGTACCGGAATGCAGGGTATCTGGGAATATTCAAGCGGTAGATTAAAAGTAAAGCATTAGGGGTTTAGGAATTTTCCCTGGTTATCCGATGGTGACCTTGAATCTGACCTGCACCATGACATTCATAGTCATTTCAAGGTCATACCCGAACGTAACATTTTCCGGGGTCAAAATTATGGGGTCTCATTTTAAAAAAATTCTCGTAACTTTAATATTATCTTGAAGGTCGTGGTTTACGTAAAATTCAAGTTCACCATCGGATAGCCAGGGAAAAATCCTAAACCCCTAGTGCTTTACCTTTACCCTACCTTTTGAATATTCCCAGATATCCTGCTATTCCCGTACTTTTGGCTCACCCTGTATAATAATACCATCAAACATTGAAACGAATTTTTTTATGCAATTATTATTATCGTTTTACACAAATAACTGGACTTTAATAAATAATAACTATAAAATATAATTGCCGACTCGCGAAAATAAATTGAAACAATTTACTTCTTCTAAAACATACCTAATGGGGATTTTTAAATGTCTGAAATACATTATGAAAACGGTGTTATTTTGTAGAAATTAAATGTAAAAATTGTACCATCCACTTACTACAAAAATATAAGCAAACGTAGAAAATTATTTTGGCTATCGAATACAAAAATTGTTATTATTTTACAGCCGTGCAAAAGCTATTTGAAATCCAAGTGCTATGCTGCGCAAGGGGAAATTTCCTAGAAGGTGGCCTCAGTTTTAAAGATAGATTGATAGATCCCAATGAAGATTTATCTGTGAAGTGTGACTGTATTGGATTGATTATCGATGGTTAGTAGTTGTAATCATAGATTCAATACTAGAAAAATTATACATGATGTCCCTAAAAAGGATGGACAACGCTTGATTACAGTTTCCTTGGATGAAAATAAGACTATTTAACCTAACTTTCCTATATACAAGTGCACGCCTACTAAGCCTTCTAAATATAGAACAGATAACCTAGTTTTTTTTCAAATAATTTTAAAACTTTTTTTCTTAGAAACTCCATATTTGATATACACATTTTTTTATATAAGGGCAATGTAAATATAGAATTTGGTGAGAATACATATACATGAGTACGAGGTGCCATATAAAAAGGAAACAAATTCATAACAATAATTAAGGTTCAGTGTCAAGTTTCGAGCATATACTTCTAGAGGCAGCCTTCAGTGCTGAGAAAGCGCGACTGCGAGAGAGAAAGGAGAATAAAAGGACATGCTATCTCTCTCGCTCCGCGAGCTGATTGATCGGGGCTTAGGTGCAGGAGAGTCATTGGCATGGAGGGGAGCACGCACCGACCAATCCAGCTCGCGAAGCGAGAGAGATAGCATGTCTTTTTATTCTCCTTTCTCTCTCGCACACCAGTCGCGCTTTCTCAGCACTGATGGCTGCCTCTAGGAGTTTATGCTCGAAGGTGTCAAGCTAGGTGTGGTTTAATTTTAGTTTACTTTGTTTTTTATTGCAATTTATACCTTTGCTGAACAAAATGATATGTTATTAGTTTTGGGTTATTGTGAAAAAAATTGTTGTGCTACTGTTTGAACATAATATGTTGAAAGATTTCCTAATCCAAGAATTCCAAATCACAAAACATTTGCTAATGCGGAGAGACGCCTTCGGGAAACAGGACGTTTTTTACCTGTAACATTAAATCATGGATAAACGTACGGCCGGAACTATTCAGCTGGAGGAACAAATTTTGGAAAGGGTCGAAGAANAGCGAGAGAGATAGCATGTCTTTTTATTCTCCTTTCTCTCTCGCACACCAGTCGCGCTTTCTCAGCACTGATGGCTGCCTCTAGGAGTTTATGCTCGAAGGTGTCAAGCTAGGTGTGATTTAATTTTAGTTTACTTTGTTTTTTATTGCAATTTATACCTTTGCTGAACAAACTAATATGTTATTAGTTTTGGGTTATTGTGAAAAAAATTGTTGTGCTACTGTTTGAACATATGTTGAAAGATTTCCTAATCCAAGAATTCCAAATCACAAAACATTTGCTAATGCGGAGAGACGCCTTCGGGAAACAGGACGTTTTTTACCTGTAACATTAAATCGTGGATAAACGTACGGCCTGAACTATTCAGCTGGAGGATCAAATTTTGGAAAGGGTCGAAGAAATTCCTCAAGTAATAATAAGGCGTTTGGCGGTAGATGTTGGGGTTCAAAAAGTTCCGTTAATAGAGTTAATAGAATAGAGAGATATTCAAAGACCAGTTATTACAAGGTTACTATCCTAACAGGTGGATAGGTAGAGGAAATAATGCCCCTTTAAAACGGCCATCTCGATCCCCGGACCTAAACCCATGTAATTATTTCCTTTGGGGAGCGTTGAGGACCACAGTTTATAACTTTTCAGTAAATACAGAAAACGAATAATGGGAAAGAATACAACATGAAATTAATGTTATGAGAGGTAATGTACAATTATTGGATAAAATTCATTTTAATTCTCGAAGAACTAATGCTTGCGTTTAAGAACAAGGAAGTCACTTTGAGCATTTACTGTAATATTATTTTAATGTAATTACAAATATCAATTTAGGTTTATTTAAAATGTTAATGTTGACTTTCTTACATTATTAGTTGAAATTGTTTATTTAAAATATTAGTGTTGATTTTTATTTTAATGACTGATAATACTAAGACTAAAAATGTGTAGTTATTTTTTTTAATGTGGCGCTTTTTCATTATTTCTCCCTGCTTTGAGGCTGCAGTTATAAATTATTTTTTACAAATCGGAATTTTTGCCTATATTTAATGTATAAAAAATGCTAATTTTACTCGAAATCCATAAACGATATCAAAATTTTGCAAGAGCAAAAAATCTTCTAAAATAACGCTTATTTTTAAAATTATAAATTCTGGCCCCACTGGCGTATACTCAAAAAAATTACGGGCTAGCCAGTGGCGCACAGGCATTAGAAAGAGAACATCCTGTATATGTATTATCACNAATCTGACGTTTTTCATTATTATTACCTGCTTTGAAGCTGCAGTTATAAATTATTTTTTATAAATTGGAATTTTGCCTATATTTCATGTATAAAAAATGCCTATTTTACTCGAAATCCATAAACGATATCAAAATTGTGTAAGAGGCAAAAAATCTTCTAAAATAGTGCTTATTTTTAAAAATAAAAATTCCGGCCTCGTTGGCGCACACACAAAAAAATTACGGGGTAGCCAGTGGCGCACAGGCACTAGAAAGAGAACATCCTGTATATGTATTATCCCCAGATTTTGTATTTACGTTGCCCATATATAAAAAAATAAGTGTACCAAATTTGAAGTTTCTAAGAAACATAGTTTTCAAATTATTTGAAAAAATCTAGGTTATATATTCTATATTTAGAAGGCTATATCTCAGTAGGCGTGCACTTTTGTATATAGGTAAGTTAGGCTAAATAGTTTTATTTTCATCCAAGGAACCTGTGGTCAAGCGTTGTAATCCATTTTAGGGACACCCTGGTTTGTTTATAAACTACGCTATAAGTCAAAGTAAGGGCTGACGTTTGCCTATAAATTTTGACATTTGTACGTCGTCAGGATTCAGGGGGATTACGATTGATGCCTTCTATGACTAATTATGCATTTATCATTGTCTTTGTATTACTCTTAACACCTTATTGTAACAATTTAAGCAACGATTTGCCTCATTAGAGATAATTACAAAAATTCTTCTATTTGCAATAATAATTTGTGTACAGATACCTGTATAGACCTGCCCAAATTCGCCTCATGTGGTTACATGCGATTCCGATCTTCGGAATTTCGGGAGACTACATACAATCTCTTGACAGACAATCAGAAGAGAGAATTCCACGCGAAAGCTATACGGTACATGGAAAAGGAAACGAGAAGATGCCGGGCTTGTGGTAGTGGATACTTTGCCAGATACTTAGGCAGCGGAAAATTCGATGATGTAAGTAACAAAATAAGTCCCACTTTTTTAACTTAAAACTTTTATATTATTCTTTAGATTTAGTCTCTATTCAAGGACATAGTCAGATCTATGAGCAGGGATAGGCAAGGTTTTGACCTATCAGGGAGCGAATTAGATACATCTTATCTCTGCAATAATTCGCAGAAAAGTGAAATAAGCATTTTTGTCTACGCCTGGGCCATAAGTAAAATTTCCGACATGGGCAATGAAATGATGAAATCCTTATAAATTTTCAAAGTCTAATATTACCTACATACGTAAACTTAAACTCTTAAAATGTAAAACATTAAACAAAACACCATTTTCTTTTATCCTCAAAAAATGTTTCTTTCAAATGCTTGTTGTTTTCCACCAATTTTCTCGTTGCAAGACGAATTATTAGTGCTTGCCAAATTATATTATTTCCACATATTGCACTAATCTCGATTTGTAGTTCAGGTAATTTGTTTTGTTGTGTTTTTTAACTCCTGTAATGTGTTCATGAGGTAGGGGTGCAAGTCTTTTCATCAGAAAAAGAAATTCGAGTGAGTTATGGAAAGAATCTAAATTTGGAATAAATATAGACCTGTTAAAGAACTCGGTGAGACTAGTAGTTGGTGCGATCAGAGCAGTGTTGCTGCCTCCTAACAAGTCTTCTTCTGTGGGCTTCACCGATTTTCTTTGCGTGGCCAATTTATATATGTTCTTCGGCGGCATCACGGTGGGAAGTGATAACCGACATAATTCACTTGATATACTACGAGCATCTTATTAACATCACCAGCTTTTGATTGCAGGACATTTACTACGGATTTCATAAGGTACACATAAAATACGAATGATTCCTTCGTCTGAGTTTTTGCCTGTCACAAGCCGCTCACGAGTTGAAATTATCGATTGCAACACTTTTTTGTTCTCTTCAACTGCCTTATGATAGGCCGAATTCAATAGGGCACACTTTTCGGATTATTTATTACTAAGAATAGTAAAGGATGCCCCAAAAGAAACGGAGGATTTCATATGAGCAAAAAAGATGTTATTAATTAAAAAGTTGACAAAGTTCTTTCATGTTTTTAAAGACTGACACTGCCTTTAAATAGGAAAGAGGATATCGGACAGATGTCTCATTTGGCATACTCGACTTCTTTTGAAAATTCTGTATCACACTTACGCATACCTGTGGCATAATTTCGTTGATAATTCAGAAATGGTATTTATTTGAGTAGAATAAACTTTGAAGTTTACGAATCCCCACAGGAAAAAGCCGCTTTTGTTGTTCATGTCAACTTTGACTCTATCCACAGATGTATGGTAGGCACCGTGGTATAATCCCACAAAACGCTCGATAAAGGTTATTTTTGTTTTGGGAGAAAAAACTATACAAAAGACTTATTGACACATTAGTGTTAGCTTCTTTTAAGTAAATTGGCGCACAAAAGTTATAAATTTCCAATTTTCCTAGAACGAACGGATGGCAGCCATCTTGTGACATTAAACTGACAGCTGTTGGCGCTGAAATCACATTTTCGCATACCTGTGGTATAATTCCGTTGATAATTCACGAATGGTAGGTATTCATTTGGATAGAAAAAACTTTGGACTTTACTAATCCCCACAGGAAAAAGTCGCATGGTGTAAGATCTCATAATCTCGGTGGCCAAATCATTTCATGTTACATGAGATGAGTTGTCTATTAAATTTCTGCTGTAACAAGTGGATAATTTCACGTGCTGTATGGTAGGTTGCACTATCCTGCTGGAACTACATATCATCCAAATCCATGCCATCCAAATAAGGCTACAAAAAGCATCTCTCTGTATTTCCAGCCTCATTTTAAAAAAAGAACGGACCACCAAACGTAAAATCCACACCACGCTGTCACTTTTTGGTGTCGTTCTTGAATGACCAGATGATAGTTTTCAGCCCCAAAATCGACAGTTTTGCTTGATCATATATCCACTAAGGAAATGTGCCTCGTTGCTAAAGATGATTTTCTTAGTAAAGTCATCGTCCACTCCAACATACAATGAACGAATGTCCGACGCATTAAATGTTCGTCTGGTTTCAATTCCTGGGTTAATTGAATCTGGAATGCAGATACAAATGTTGTTACTGACGGCGCACTGAGGTTACGAAAATTTCCGCCACACTCTCACTCATCGTGTATTTTCGGGTGAACGGCCAGTAGTACGAGACCAACCTGTTTTTTTATTGTTTGCAACGGAATCCGTTTGTTGAAAGGCAGCTAATATTTTCACAGTTGTTTCTGGTGGCGTTCCTTCTACCGAAAATTCGACATAATTTGCGCACAATCTCAGCTACACACTCTCTGTATTTGTAATGAATTCTCACAATCTTCACTCTTTCATATGTTCATCCATCGTATACCACTCCATTTTGTCTAACCGTAACGTGTTTACTACAACATGCGACCTTGCACAATGCTGCCAACTCTTCGGAATGAAAATGGCGTACAATTCAAATCCGATCATTAGTTTCTGAGATACAGCCGCTTACCTCGCTTATTTGCCCACCCTGTACAATTATTGAATAAAATTCATTTTAATTCTCGAAGAACTAATGCTTGCGTTTAAGAACAAGGAAGTCACTTTGAGCATTTACTGTAATATTATTTTAATTTAATTACAAATATCAATTTAATTTCATTTAAAATGTTAATGTTGACTTTCTTACATTATTAGTTGATATTGTTTATTTAAAATATTAGTGTTTATTTTTATTTTATTGATTGATAACACTAAGACCAAAAATGTGTAGTTATTTTATTTTAATCTGACGTTTTTCATTATTATTACCTGCTTTGAGGCTGCAGTTATAAATTGGAATTTTGCCTATATTTCATGTATAAAAAATGCCTAGTTTACACGAAATCCATAAACGATATCAAAATTGTGTAAGAGGCAAAAAATCTTCTAAAATAGTGCTTATTTTTAAAAATATAAATTCCGGCCTCGTTGGCGCACACATAAAAAAATTACGGGGTAGCCAGTGGCGCACAGGCACTAGAAAGAGAACATCCTGTATATGTATTATCACCAAATTTTTTATTTACATTGCCCATATATAAAAAAATAAGTGTACCAAATTTGAAGTTTCTAAGAAAAATAGTTTTCAAATTATTTGAAAAAATCTAAGTTATATATTCTATATTTAGAAGGCTATATCTCAGTAGGCGTGCACTTTTGTATATAGGTAAGTTAGGCTAAATAGTTTTATTTTCATCCAAGGAACCTGTGGTCAAGCGTGNGTTTTTAAAGACTGACACTGCCTTTAAATAGGAAAGAGGATATCGGACAGATGTTTCATTTGGCATACTCGACTTCTTTTGAAAATTCTGTATCACACTTACGCATACCTGTGGCATAATTTCGTTGATAATTCAGAAATGGTATTCATTTGAGTAGAATAAACTTTGAAGTTTACGAATCCCCACAGGAAAAAGCCGCTTTTGTTGTTCATGTCAACTTTGACTCTATCCACAGATGTATGGTAGGCACCGTGGTATAATCCCACAAAACGCTCGATAAAGGTTATTTTTCTTTTGGGAGAAAAAAGTATACAAAAGACTTATTGACACCTTAGCGTTAGCTTCTTTTAAGTAAATTGGCGCACAAAAGTTATAAATTTCCAATTTTCCTAGAACGAACGGATGGCGGCCATCTTGTGACATTAAACTGACAGCTGTTGGCGCTGAAATCACATTTTCGCATACCTGTGGTATAATTCCGTTGATAATTCACGAATGGTAGGTATTCATTTGGATAGAAAAAACTTTGGACTTTACTAATCCCCACAGGAAAAAGTCGCATGGTGTAAGATCTCATAATCTCGGTGGCCAAATCATTTCATGTTACATGAGATGAGTTGTCTATTAAATTTCTGCTGTAACAAGTGGATAATTTCACGTGCTGTATGGTAGGTTGCACTATCCTGCTGGAACTACATATCATCCAAATCCATGCCATCCAAATAAGGCTACAAAAAGCATCTCTCTGTATTTCCAGCCTCATTTTAAAAAAAGAACGGACCACCAAACGTAAAATCCACACCACGCTGTCACTTTTTGGTGTCGTTCTTGAATGACCAGATGATAGTTTTCAGCCCCAAAATCGACAGTTTTGCTTGATCATATATCCACTAAGGAAATGTGCCTCGTTGCTAAAGATGATTTTCTTAGTAAAGTCATCGTCCACTCCAACATACAATGAACGAATGTCCGACGCATTAAATGTTCGTCTGGTTTCAATTCCTGGGTTAATTGAATCTGGAATGCAGATACAAATGTTGTTACTGACGGCGCACTGAGGTTACGAAAATTTCCGCCACACTCTCACTCATCGTGTATTTTCGGGTGAACGGCCAGTAGTACGAGACCAACCTGTTTTTTTATTGTTTGCAACGGAATCCGTTTGTTGAAAGGCAGCTAATATTTTCACAGTTGTTTCTGGTGGCGTTCCTTCTACCGAAAATTCGACATAATTTGCGCACAATCTCAGCTACACACTCTCTGTATTTGTAATGAATTCTCACAATCTTCACTCTTTCATATGTTCATCCATCGTATACCACTCCATTTTGTCTAACCGTAACGTGTTTACTACAACATGCGACCTTGCACAATGCTGCCAACTCTTCGGAATGAAAATGGCGTACAATTCAAATCTTGCGTTACTTTTGGGACACCCTTTATATTCTCTTGTTTTTTTTCTTAGTTAATAGTCATATTCTGTACACCATTTTTAAAAATTATCTACGCCAATTACAGGGATTAAGACCTAGGACTAAAAGGAAATCCTCTATTGTCAGCCAGGATTCAAATGACGCTCATACAGAGAAGACATCAGGAGTGGGAGCAGTTTCCACCTCGAACACAATCGTGTCGTCACATAAAAGTACCCTTTTAAAATCAGATAACATAAGAATTTCGAGTCTTTCCGCCTTAAGTTCCATAAGAGCGTCTGGTGTTGGTAAGTATTAAATAGTTAATTAAATATTAGTAGTAAGATGGCTAATTTCTGTGTATGAGAAATCGAAACGTCCAGGTGATAAATTGAAGTGGTAAATTAAAAACTGACGAAGGAAAAGAAGCTGCCAGCTTTACAAATATATACGTTATTTTAGTGTCGATTGTTTTGGATAACTTGTTGCTCAAGACATCTAATAAAAAATGGGCTAAATTGAAACTGAAAATTTTCTATTTTGTAACCATTTTCTTTAGTCAGATCAAATATAGAGAATGTTGCGCACAAGATCATCAGAAAGCAGGTGCGTGGAAAAAATTTAAAAACAGTATTTTAAAGTTCAGTTAAAAAATAAAATTGTAATTGCACTCGTCTCAGATTTCTCCCATTCTTTAATTTGTGACTATCCTTACTTCGAAAGTGTAACATGAATTTAAGGGGAATCTACTGTTCAGAATTTGCAGAATGAGAAATATCTTAAATTAATGCGATTTTCATTGAATTATGTGTTGCTGATAATGTGACCATTTCCTCTAATTTGTGAAATAATATACGATTTCAAGTTTATGAACTTCATAAAGCAAAATTTGATCATTAATATCAGATAAATTATTTTATTGACAGTTAAATTAGATATGTATCGAAAATTTGGGCGTAAAATAATTAATTTCGCATATAAATAAAAAATAGTAAACATTTAGAAAACGCGACAATCATATCTAATATAGGGGGTGTATCTCAATAACACCGAAAAAATGTAAGGGGCTATTCTCTGACGAAAATTAATAGGGGTCTTTTGTATGAAATTTTTTGAAAAAACTCTCCCCTGAAAAGTTACGCCCCGCCAAAAATTTCAAAAAAAATTGTTCTCGTAATATTAGTGATTAATAGAAGGTATCTATAATAAATTAAAATTACCTGAATCACACCAAATTCCGCATTGCTGCACTGCCTGCTAGGCAATTTGTCGACCACTTGTCAACGGCTGAGATTTATTGCCCACGCTCGCATTCTTCAACTGGGCGTATATATTTCCACCACCTCCACGTTTAGTTCGACCAGACCTGCATATGGGTATGGCTAAATAACTATGGGAACAAGTTTTTCAAATATTTCAATGCCGAGTTGCTGCGTCAGCGACCGGACTTGGTACATACTGTCATCCTCTTGGTTCTTCAATTGATATCGGAAAGACTATACTTAATTATGGATGTGATGGCCGTCTGATACTAGAAGCATAGGTCTTTCAGCAGTTGTGTGAATATATTCAAGAAAGCGATTGAACCACTGGCTGAATATGTCGATTTGTATCCATACTCCAGTCGGCAGAGGCCGAAAAGTTAGTGTTGGTGACATTTTCTTAATAACTCGGAAATAACTATACAGGTCTACTTTAAATAATGAGTACAATAACAGGCTAATTTGCTGACAAAGTATTTTATCAGGAAAAAAAGTTATTAACAATTTAATCGGAAAAAATTTTTTTTAGTAGTTTTCTTTAAATAACTCAGCGGGATGACTTTGTACGAAAAAATGCTTAGGACATGATTTTGTTCGTAATAAAAACAGCTACAAAATGGCGGTGGTCCGATTACCAAATTTGCAATAACAAAGCCGTGAGATTGAAAAAACGGTATAAAACG